TCCACTGTACAACCAACGTTCGACTGTGATTTAACTCCTTGCCTCCGCTGGGACCTCACAGCTCAGATTGTTAGAGCATGGACGGTATTAAAGCCCTGTGTTCGAATTCCCCTGAGGCCGCGGCGTTATTTTACACATTGGCCAATAATAGGAGGCAAACGTCATATGGGACTAACAGCTTACCTCCACCTCCAACAAATCCCATTTAGGATGCGTGCCAAAGCCTTTCCTGACTTCGTGCCTGCCAAGGCGATTGTCTATCGTAAGGAGGAGGTGAAGGAAGTGAAGGCTGAGGAGACTGCGGAAGATGAGGACGAGGGGGGAGATGAGGATGCAGAGGAGGTCTCCTCGGACATCCCCGACTACGACGGTCCACCCCGCTGCGTGGTGTTAGTCAGACCCTCTGCTAACGCCGCCTTTCGGAACGACATTCTGGAGACGCTTAAGTCCTCCGGATTCGAGGTTCAAATCACGCGTGAGTTCATCTTAACAGAGGAAGCAGCTACCGAATTCTACGAAGACAGGTCGGCCTTAGCCATCTTCGACGCGCTAATCAAAGAGATGATATCTGGACCAATACTCGTCATAGTTGTAGCTAAGGAGGTACGTTTATCTCCATTGCTCTCATTTTTACAGTGGTAGTCAGGTATTGCTTCCATACTTTGCCTAGCATCAATGCCATATTTTTCATGATTTCTGAAACACCCTCCGGATTAGTATTTGTAAATGATAGCTACCAGTTACCGATACGCTAGCCAAGATAATTTGAGAAGCTACACTCTACAGACAGCGAGGTTCGCCACTAGCTTCGCCGACGGTGTCCCGAACATAAGACCTAGTTACATTGAGCATCTAGCGCAGGGGTTAAGTAAGTTAAACCCTAGCAACTGCGATCTTCAGACCATGGTTCCTTAGGAGAGAAGAAGTCGGTGGAGGCCAGAGTAGTAGGAATAATCATTCTGTATACAGAGGAACTAATAGTAGGGAAGAAGATGACCTAGGGATGTCACGACCTTCCGCTGGGGTGGCGTAATCCGAAGTACGGCATAGTTGCAGGAAATCCCCGCGGCCCAGAGAGCAAGCGTCCACGCGTGCAGGCTTGCTATTCGTCGCCGACCCAGAAGGCATCTATGCGGCAACTGTGATTGGCTGCTCCCAGACGTCGAGATAAACGGCTGCGGGACTTCAGGAAAGTTCACTTCGACGCAAGCTAGTCACAACATGCTCACCCCAGGACTCACCCTCGCAACTCCAACCTATTATAATTATATAGTAGACTAGAACCCATCTATTTTCAATTCTCCCGACTGCAGTCGAGCAGAAATGCTTGCTCTCCGCTATCACGTGATAATGCTTCTCACAACTAATTCATCACATTTCTGTCTGTTCATCTGGTTTCCTTTTACGTCTGCGTCAGTTTAACTGAGAAAGGATTGGTGTGGGGATCTTATTTAGGTGGCCACTAAGTATGTCGAAATAGACTGAGGGGGCACTAGTTAGTTCCGGCATCCAAAGATACAGTAGATGTTCCATGTCACGAAATGTCAGCTGAACTTCTGAAATGTAGTAACTATCGTGTAGCCTACTTACAAGCAGTTCCTCAGCCGCGTCAGGCATCCAAATTTTGAACGAGCTTCCTCCTGGCCCCTTGTAAAAACTAAACTCCGGAAGAAATAACCATGTTATTAGTAGGAATATTCTAATTGCTTCTCACTGCTTTGAAAAATTTGGTAGGAAGGTCTTTAGAGGTCCTATTTGCCTTTGC